GCTTTCAGAGCCCTTCCCAGTCTGGCTCCCACCTTTGTCTCCAGACTTCTTGCCCCTTCCTCTCCTTCCTGCCCTCTTGGTTCAGCCGAACCAGCCTGCTTGCTGTTCCTCGTAATACACAACGTGGAATTTGACTGGGTGATCTTATCACCTCCCATAGATTCAGTTATTTCTCTGCAGATGATTCTTAGATTTATTTTTCTAGCCCTCACCTCTCTGCTGACCTCTAGTCTCCCATCTCCTACTACCTTGGACATCTCAAACGGCCTGTCTTGTATGCATCTAAAACCCACGATGTTCAAAATGGAACTCATTCTCTTTCCTCCAGCTGAGCCTGTGGGTATCTTGTTTGTGTATGGGTTCTTGTGTATTGTCTCCACCCATTACAGTCTCCACCCAGCAGTCTTAGGAACTGTTATTTTTGCCTTTATCTGTATCCCCAGCACTTAATACAGTGCTTGGCCCATAGTAGGTGCTTCATGAATAAGCTTGTTGACTTCACAACATTCCATCTCCTGCCTCCACGTCTTTGCCCAGGCAGTTCCCCACGCCTTCTCCCCTCTGCCTCATGGACGCTGTAGCCTATTTTGGAACTTAGTTCAAGTGTCACATCCTACAGGAAACTCTCTTGATCCACCTCATTTCTAATGGTAACCCTCCCCAGATTACTCTTGTATATTATGTGTGTGTGTGTGTGTGTGTGTGTGTTGTATATACACATACATACACATAGAAATATATATATATATATATATATACATACACATATATTCTCCTTCTTTATATATACATGTATGTCTCTCTTTCTCTAAATATAAACAAAGCAATCTTTTTGGCATCCATCTTATTTCCTTCCAGTAGAATAGAAGCTTCCTGAGGACAGGGACTGTTTCATTTTTGTCTTTGTATGCCTAGTATCTAGCATAGGGGCTGGCACATAGTTGGTACTTAATAAATGCTTGACAATTAAATGAATAATTGTTATAATTTCTGAAAATAGAATTGAGTGAGGTAGTGAGTTCCCTGCTACAGAGATGTTCAAGCTGCAGCAGGATGACCATTTGTTGGGAATGGTGTAGAAGGGATTCATTCATTGGGCGGGTGGTTGGACTGAATGACCTTGAAGGTTCTTTGCACTCAGGGGTCCTGTGATGATCTGCAGAGACATCGGCAGACACGCGACCTGGAGCCCATTCCTGCTTGGTGCTGGTGTCCCTGGACGGGCTGGCATTCTCCGAGACTGATTCTGGCAGGTGGGCCAGACGTGACTCCCCACGCATTTCCATGCCTCCTTGGCTGATGTCAGCTTCCCACCCATCTGTGCTCCAGGAACTCTGAGCTCTGTCTCCTTCCTTCTCTCTCAGGAAAAAAGGGACATGCCAGCCCTGTGCACCTCTTTAGGAATCTTGAGGCAGGTCTCGACAGAGCCTTTCAAAGTCTGGATGTCAGGAGGCCTCAGGTCCGAGCCTGACGTGAATTTGCTGCCCCCGACTGCCCCTTCCGGAAGACGCTAGGGTCATTCTAGTGGTCTCTGCAGGCTCTTTCTGAAATTCCAAGGCTGTGGTTTAATTTAGGGGTGCTTCCATTTAAAAAGAGGCATGAATGGGGAATGTGTTGGGGGGCAGTTTGTTTTAGATCATACTGTGACCCTCCCACCTGTGCACGGAGCCAGCCGACTCTTTCTTTAAATGAACCTGTTTTGTTCTTGACATATCACTTCCCAGGCCCCACAGACCCCTGGCACTTCCCCTTATAGAAACAGAGCTCGGGTAATGTTCTTCCATTGGTGTTCACCATTCCTTTCTGCTAAGGAATGGCGAGCGCTCTAAAATCGGTTACCAGGAGCGGCTGTTGGCCAATGTATTCTCTCAGAACCTGGTGTCTTGGAGTAGTACTGTCTTCATTTATGTCACTGTCATCAGGGTACAGATTGCTCTCTGGCTGTTCTTTTTGTTTTGGTGCAGTCATTTCAGACAGGCCTTCCCATTTTTCTCTGAATTCATCTTCATTGTTTAGAAATGCTTTTTTCATTCATTCATTCTTGTGATGCAAAAATAATTCCATTATATGCATCTACCACAATGCAGCCATTGCTTTGAGAGAGAGAGTGTGTGTGTGTGTGTGTGTGTGTGTGTCCTTGTTAGATTGTAAGCTCCTCGAGGGTGCAGGGGTGGTTTCACTTTTGTGTATATTTTCCCATCACTTCGTGAAGCATTTGGCACGTAGTAGGAGCCTAATAAATACTTACTAATTGGTTAATTTAATAGGACAGCCACATCATTTATATTCTGCTTTTTTGTTGCTATTGAATATTTTGGTATAAATCGGCCTTTGTTTCCTGCTAGTGAATCCTTGAGATATAAACCCAATTGGGGGATCACAGCATCAAAGAGTCTAAACACAAGAGCAGCTTTCTTGTCAAACTCCCAGTTGTTTTCCACAAATGTTGCAGTTTGCAGCCCCGCCAGGAGTGTGTTGGTGTTCCTGGATGCCTACGTTCTTCCTGACATCGATGATTTTCATCTTCTGCTTCTTTGCCAATTGTAATGGGGTGGTGGGCCAGGCTGCCATGCCTGGGGGTGAGGCTGTCAGTGAATGCTGCGTCCTGTTCTCCGGTCTTTCACCAGAGTTGTGTGGGGCCGGTTGTTGGCTTGAGGTAGGGCTGGCTAAAGAATTTGCCATTTCCAGGTCAGTTCATCCAGTGGGGTGGGGAAGAATGGGGGAGGAGCCATGGTGTCAAAAAGGAAAGAACGAGAACTGGAAGCTGTGTGGGCATCCGCAGGGGAATTTGGATCCTAGCGTTAGCAGGGTCACTAAGTGACCCTGAAGGCTCGCTGTCTTTGCCACGTGACTGCCTGTGACTTTCAGCTCTGGCCTTCTGTGGTCCAAGTCTGTTCTGGCTCCGGTCTTCTGGGTGTCTCCTCACATCAGCTGCAGGTGTCCCTCCTTGAAAATAAATGTCACTTGGGCCACAGAGATTCACAGAGTTCACAACACTGCTTTGTGTGGCCTGATTCATGTTGGCAGATTTCAGGGACTGTTAGACTAGACTAATCCTACGTTAGATGGTGGCACCCACCAGCCAAGTATGCTGCTTCAATCTGATTTGCTAAGAGCTGAGAGAGTAGAAACATGGCAAAAAGGCCCGTCGTTTGGAGATGGGAGACAGTGGGAAGAAACCGTAGGAGTAAAGAGAAACACCATAGAACTTTCTTGTTTTTTCTAGACCAGGTTTCCCTATCTCACCTAGGCTAGACGTGTAGTGGCCACTCATGGGCCCGATTCCAACACTAATCAGCAAGGAGGCCTGACCTGCTCTGTTTTTCTGATCTGGGTTGGCTTGCCCCTCCTTAGGCAGCCCCCCAGCTCTTGGGAGCTCACCCTGTCAGTAGCTGATTCAGTATGGATACTCGACCGGCTCCAGCCCTGCTGGAGCTCAGCACTCCCAAAGCCTGGGCCTTCCCACCACAGGGGACTGCTTCAGGTGGATAAAGCATGCTCAGTCGGCATGGGGTCTGCAGTACCCAGACTGTCCCTGGGCATGATTGCCCCACCCTTTCTTCTTGGGTTTTTGTTTCTTTGGAGTGATTTTTCTTTTTTTTTTCTTTTTTTTAAATATAATTTTTTTTAACTTATTCATTTTTAGTTTTCAACATTCACTTCCACAAGATTTTGAGTTCCAGATTTTCTCCCCATCTTGTCCCTCCCCCCACCCCAAGATGGCATGCATTCTGAGTACCCCTTCTCCTAATCTGTCCTCCCTTCTGTCTCTCCCCCCCTTGGAGGGATTTTTCTACATAGCACCATCTCTTAGACTTTACAGTGGCTGACAATCAGGAAACAGGCTTCTACTGACAGAAATTTGCAGCGTTACTAGAATACAGAGTCTCTAGAGTCAGGGGCGTTAGCAGTGGCACATCTGCGCGGCACAGCTTTGGGTGTGATGGCGGGCAGGGGCCTGAGGGAAGTGTCTGAGGGTTCTGCAGATGGGCCGGCCTTCTCCAGAATGGCTATAAATAGAATCTTTGTAGAGAGTCCTCTGAAGGAGCACGTCTTTGCTTTTAAGGCACATTAATAATGTACTTTCTGAAAACAGGCTGCGGCTGGAGGCTTTGGTCAGCCAGAAATGGGCTCAGGGGCTAGATTTTCGGAAAGGTGTCGGGCCACTTCTTTGGTGCCCCCTTTTAAGTCTGCAGCATCTCAAGAGGTGATACCACTTCCCCACCCCCCACTGTGGTTCTCTTGTCCGTGTCTCCCTTTGGTGTAAAGCTGTTTCTTTAGTCTAACATCCTCTTCTTGAAAATGATAGTTCAGTAAAGCAGTTTGTGAGCCTTGAAGCCCCAGGGGGATGGGAGCTGCTAATACCGTCATACATATGAGACTCCCTAGAGAAGCCACGGATTGTTCTGGGAAGACAAAGTGTTTGGGTAAGGCCGTAGTGAAGAGCCCAGCACTCTTTGGTGCTCTAAGCGTCGTTGATGGTGACGGGCAGCACAATGACCAGGACCATGAGAACCGCTGCTCCTGTGCTCTCAGCCCTTCAGATGGGGCTCCTCGGCCATGTGGATTGGGTCGAGGCCTAGCGCCACTCCGCTGCCCTTAAGGAGCAAGCGGTCATCAGGGGTCCTGTCTGCTGGTCTCAGTAGATCTGCAAGGTCAGAAGTTAGCAGAAACCCAGAGCCTTCTCCAGTGTTTCATTCTCCTTTGAATTTAGGCCCTTAGGTTGAAAGACACTTCTTTATATTGGAACTCGGGCTCAGGTTTGGATGACAGAAGCACATGGTGTGTCCCTAATGTTTAAACAATTGGTACCCGCCTGGGACATGTCTCTGACCTCTGCGTGTGTGCATGCATGCGTATGTGCGTGTGTGTGTTTGTGTGTGAGATAGAGACAGAGAGAAAGAGACCGAGACAGAAAGAGTCAGAGAGAGACAGAGAGGGAGAGAGAACGACCCCCAGGCCTTGGGCCAGCGGTCACTGACTTTGGTTTTGTCGGACAGACGGCAGCAGCTTGTTTGATTCCATGGCAAGTGGGATGCGCCTCATCGTCAGCTGCATCTCCTCCTTCCTCATCCTGTCCTTGCTGCTCTTCATGGTCCATCGGCTGCGTCAGAGACGCCGAGAGCGCATCGAGTCGTTGATTGGCGCGAACCGTAAGTAGCCGGTGGCCGCTGTGGTGGCTGCCTCAGAAAGGTTTCACAGGGCTGAGGGGACAAGTGGTTTGGACCTTTCCAACCTTCGAACAGCATTTCATCTATTCTCAACTCAACAAACATAGATGTAAAGGCTGTCCTGCTAGGCGTTGGGGATCCAAAGGGAAAAGATCTAGTCTCTCCCCTCAGGGGGCTTCCTTTCTATCAGGAAGCAACAGCAGATACTACAAAATCATGCAGCGTCAGGATGCGGTATTCTGGGGTGGGAGGGAAGGCCTCCAGTGTGAAGCTATACCTTGAAGGGATGGGGGGAGGATGAAGTGGAGGGAAGCAGGCAAGAGTGATGGGCATTGGGGGCCGGGATGTGTACTGGTGGGAGAGAGAGGTGAAGCTCAGAGGGCTGAGGAGAGGTTGGAACCAGATTGGGATGGTTTTAAATCAGTCAGTCAGGCAGCAAGTATTCAGTAAGTGCTTACTGTGTGCCAGGCACTGTGCCAAGCACAAACAAAAAGAGAGACAACCCTGCCCTCTTGGGGCATCCAGTCTAAGAAAGGCAGAAGGCAGCAGGGAGAAGATCCCCCCACCCTGGTGGGGCCTGGTGGCCTCGGCGGCAGAGCCACAAGGGGAGTGGGGAGGAGTGGAGGGAAGTGCCGAGTGTAGGCATGGGCATCTCATCCCAGAGGCAGCATCCCGCACGGCCTGAATGAGGGAAGCCCCCGTGGGCGTGGGGAGAGAGATGGAACAGCGTCGACAAGGCAGGGAACCTGGCTGGCTGGAGGAGGTGGGTCAGCGAAGAACAGGGATGACTCTGGGTCCCCAGGAGAATGGTTGGCTGCCTAACAGAAGCAGGGAAATTGTAGGCATGCTGAGACAGAAGAGGGTAGTAAGCTGTTGCCACGTGGAGGAAGGCCAGCTGTCCAGGGTGTGGAGGCGAGACTTGTGTGTCGCTAAATGGAGTGAAGGCTCAGACGGTGGTGAGAGCGTTAGCGGTCATTGGGACCTCCACTGAAGTTTCTAAGGATAAGTGTGATGGAGGCTGGCTGGTTGTGAGGAGGGACTGCGCTCCTAGAGAAAGAAGGTGGAGGGGCCCCGCCTGGAAGCTGGTAGGGAATCCCGTCTGAATGACACACAGCAGGGGTCTGGAAGGGGCAGGGAGCTTCCACTGAGACCCAGAAGCCCCAAGGAGCTTAGTGAACTGATGGAAGAGGAAGCCACAGCGCCCGTCGGGAGGCCAGGGAGGACAGCCACAGGGCCGTCCAGACAGGCGGCAGATTGACGAGGGTTGGCTTTGGCCCCAGAGAAGAGAGAAGAGCAAATATTCCCTCACCTTCTTGGCGGGGTGGGGGGAGCATGGCCGACGCTTTTTACTTTGTTGGTCAGTTTTCCTGAAATTTTTTTCTTCCTCTTTTTTCTTTTGTCTTTTATTATAAAGAAGGACTTTCTGGGCAGATGTGGGGGGAGGAATACAGCGGAAAATGTAGGTGATACATAAGCAAAAGATAGCAGCACAATTTTATTTACAAAATAATAGAGCTGAGATTCTGGAATGCACAAGGCAGAGGTGGAGAGGAGCTTGGGCCTGGGCCCAAGGAAGGGCAGGGCTGGGCTGCATGAGGACAAGGGATTTTCATTTAGGTGCCGTCTGAGTCTGATTCTAATTTCAAACCACAGGGAAAATTTGTTAACCATAGAACAGTGGATGGCCACACGATTCTAATACAAAGAGGACCATGCCCCACTCCCCAGATGGATTGCTTATTTGGTTGTCATTTCCTGAGCAGGGTGGGGTGGATGCCACATCATTTAGTTTCTGATACCAAGCCTGTCCAGGTGGCCAGGAGAACTGGTGTTGAAGGGCCTATCTGGGAGACATCATGGGAGAGGCCTGGCATTGGGCCCTTGCTGAGCATGGCCTTCTTGAGTTACTTACTCTCCCACTGCTAGTACAGTTGTGTCCCAGGCCCCAGCTTGGATGTTGATTTGATAAGCAGCAGATGGGAGACGGTAGGCCCGGAGGGGCTTGTCCAGAAGGCCAGGAAACAATAGACCTGGTTTTGGGGGCGAGTATGTTTGAGGGGCGCAGGGAGTTCCCAGGGGGAGCAGGCCTTTCCTTCAGACCCGGGACACACACACCAGGATGATACAAAGAGACTGCCCTTGAGGAGGCCGTTCATGATGGGCTCTGGTTAAAAGGGAAGCATAGGATGGACCCTGGGCCAGAGACTCCACCTGGGGGCCCCAGCCTTCTCAGGCTCAGAGGAGCTTGAAGTTGGGGGTATTGGAGCAGGATGTTACCTCAGCCCCCAGGCTGGGGCTACTGCCTGAACTTGGTAAAGCCCATTCCTTCCGGGCTCCTGGTCTGTTAGTGAAAGAGGAGGTGGCCATCAGGGCACGCTGGAAAGGCTATTGCCTCTGGAGCCTGAAGGTCTGGATTCAAATTCTGTTTCATTTCATTTTATTTTTTAAAACTCAGTTTCATTTTCAGCTCCAAATTCTTTCCCTCCCCTTTTCCCTTCCCCCCATGGCAAAAGCAAAACCTGTTATAAACTATATGTGTACATATATACAGACATATATTAAAAACAAATTCCTGCATCAGGCATGTCCAAAACCAAAACCATAAGCCTTCCTCCGCTCTCTGAGTCCAGCTCGTGTGTCTCTGGAGCAGGGTGGTGTGGCATGTTTTACCATGAGACCCCTGGAATGGTGGTGGGGCCTTATGGAGATCAGAATTCCTAAGTCTTTCAGAGTTCTTTGTCTTTACCGTGTTGTTGTGGTATAAATTGTTCTCTTGGTTTTCCTCCCTTTCCTATGCATCACTTCATGTAAGTCTTCTCAGGTTTCTCTGAAACCATCCCCTTCCTCATTTCTCAGAGTGCAGCAGTGTTCCGTCACATTCGTGGACTGTGACTTGTTTGGCTGTTCCCCAATCCTTGGGCGTCTTGCCCTCAGTTTCCAGTTCTTTGCCATCACAAACAGAGCTGCTGTATATTTGACCGCATGGCTCCTTTTCCTCTTTGATCGCTTTGGACCATAGAGTTAGTAGCAGCACGGCGGGCCGAAGGACATGCGCAGTTTGCGCAGTTTAATGGCCTTCTGGGCCTCACTCCAAGCCGCTTTGCCGAGTGACTGCACCATTTCCCAGCAGTACTTTAATGCACCTGTTTTCCCACAGCAACTCCAGCATCTGTCCCTGTCCATTTTTATCAGCCGTGTCCGTTGGATGGGCGTGAGGTCGAAGCTCAGAACTGTTTAATTTGCATTTCTCTGATTATTGATTTAGGACATTTTTAGTATGGCTGTTGGTAGCTAGGATTTGTTCTTCTGAATACTGCCTAATCACATCCTGTGACCGTTCATCGACTGTGGAATGACTCTTATTCTTATAAATTTGAATCCACTCCCTGAATATCTTAGAAATCAGAACCGTATCAGAGAATCTTGCTGCAAAGACTTTTTTTCCCTCAATTTTATAAGGTCCTTTCCAGCTCTACACCTGGGATCCTATAAGAGAAGCCCAAGATGAGGAAATATTCAGACAAGCCTAAAACGTGTTTGTGTGTGTGCGTACGCAAGTACGTGCGCATACATGTGTGTGCATGCATGTGTGTGCGTGCGTGTGCGTGTGTGTGTGCAGGAGTGGGTGGAGGGATTACGATTGTTCTTGTGAAGTATTGATCAAAATGATTTACGGAGAATTGGGCCGCGTTAATTCCAGTTCCACAAGCTCAGATTAAGCTTCGAAGGAGCCAGCGCCTGCGCCTGTGCCTGTGCTGAAGGAGAACCCAGCCCTGTCCTTCGATGGGGGAGGGGTGTCCCAGGTCATAGGTCCTCCCCACGCAGAGTGGGTCAGAGGGGAAGAGTCCCCCGTCCTCTGCTTCCGAACTCTCTGGGTGTGGCCCGTCTCCTTCAGCGATGATGGCAGCAGAGTCTTTGGGGTGGGCAGGGAGTGGAGGACAGAGATGGGGCGCCGCTTGACTCTTTTCCCTGTCTCCCACAGTGCATCATTTTAACCTGGGCCGGAGGATCCCAGGCTTCGATTATGGCCCTGATGGCTTCGGGACGGGCCTCACTCCGCTGCATCTCTCTGACGATGGAGAAGGCGGAGCCTTTCATTTCCACGACCCTCCTCCGCCATACACGGCCTACAAGTACCCGGACATCCAGCATCCTGACGACCCCCCGCCACCCTACGAGGCCTCCATCGACCCCGACAGCGCGCTCTGCGCCACTCCAGGTGCTGCCCCCTCTTCTGACTGCTCAGCCGTGTGGTTGTAATGGATCTAGAATTTAAGAAAATGAACGTGTGGTTTTCAGTGTTTTTCCTATCAGCTTTCTGTTACCTCTGCAGCAGCCGTCCTCCCCTTCCTGTCCCCCTTGTCCTCTTCATCCCCCTCTTCTGCCTCCCTGCCCTTCCCCCTTCTTCTTCTCCTCTGGCAGAACGTTGTCTTCACTCAGCACTCTCCAGGGCAGCTCCTGAAGCTTGTTCTCTGGAGCAGAAGTGATGCCCTGGGCGTGTTGGGAGGTGTTTGTTCTCAGGTCCTCAGTTTGTCTTCTTCTGGTCCCTATTCCGCACCCAGATGTGAACACATGTCCCCCCTTTGAATACTGTCACTGGAGGAGCCTGTTCTGAGGATCGTTCCCTGGGTGTGCACACGTGTTGGCCTCTGGCCGTGCTCTCGACTGTCTGCTGGGGCTGTTCTAATGAGGGACCCCCGGGAAGTGGGCCGCACCACTGGACGGCGTCCCTGCCGACAAAACTGGGGGACAGAGTCCAGCCTTGCCGAGGGGATGTTGAGGCAGAGGGAAAGGAAGTCACTTGTCCAGGGTCGCCCTGAGAGCAAGGGCAGAGCCAGGGCTCGCGGCCAGGCCAGAGGGGATCAAACCCTGCTTTGCTCGGGAAGTCCCGTGATCCTTGTTGGTCCTGAGTGGGCAGACAGCTCCAGGACAACAGCCGTCATTGATTCTGAAGCCTAGCTGGGCTTGCCGAAGGGGTAAAACTTTGGGGGTATCAACTTGCCTTTCGGGGCACTAGATGGCGCCACAGTGCATAGAGCGCTGGGCCTGGAGTCAGGAAGACTCGTCTTCCTGAGTTCAAATCCAACCAGCAGTGTGACTCTGGGCAAGTCACTTCACCCTATTTGCCTCGGTTTCCTACTCTGTAAAATGAGCTGGAGAAGGAAATGTGAACCACTCTAGTATCTCTGCCGAGAAAACCCCAAATGGGGTCACAGAGTCGGACACGACTGAAATGCCTGAACCGTAACCCTTGCCGCCGTGGAGCCGTGACGTGGCTCTGGCTTCTGGGTTCTGGAGTCGCGGCAGGAGTAGACAGAGACGATGAGGTGGCTGGCGCTGCCTGCCTGGCGGGGTCCTTGAGAGGAAGCCTGGGCTCCTGCCTCCCAGGATGCTGTAGGGCTTGGAATTTCCTTTTGGTGAGCTGGGAGGGACGGCCACGTTGGGGTTGGCCCTCGTTCCTTATTCCTCGCTGACTGCATCCTTGTTTGTACAAGTCAGGGCGGGGCAAACGTTGTGTTCTGACTCGACAGTATTTTAGCGTGGGCGGGCCTCACCATGGGATCTCAAAGGCTTTGCCCATGGAAGGGCCGGCTGAGCGGGGGAGGCCTGCACGGTGATGGACTGGGTGACTCTCACCTGAGCACCAGCTTCCTGAGGTTCCGGGGCTGGGGGGATCTGGATTGGTGCAGGGAATGCTCCTGCTGGAGAAGGCCTGGACCCTCAAAGAAAGAAAATGGAGGAATAAGCTGGGGAAAGGAGACCTCAGCCTCAGCTCCATCTGTGCTCCTCGGGGGGGTCTCCTAGGGTAGCTGTGGGGGTGGCTGCCGTGGCTGTCATGATGTTTCATGGCCATCTGCCAGGGCTGGGTCAGGCTGGCCTTGACGGTGAGGGAGGCAGGGGGCGATGGGAGAGGGCCTTTAGGCATCCCGGCGTGCTGCCTTGCGTGGCTGCCCTGCTTCCTCATCACTTTTTGTCTTCCTTCCTAGATGGCGTTTGCCCCCAGACGGCTCAGAGCAGTCCGCCCTCCCTAGGAGACAGTGATGTGTCTCCCCGACTCTCGGAGGGGCCTCTCCCGCCTTTGGTGGGGCCCTCCCCAGCAGAGCTGGATGACTCGGCTGATAGCAGCACCCTCCTCGTACCTCCGGACACGCCCCTGAGCGAGAATAGGCCGGCAGAAACTCTGGGGGGCAGCCGCTCCAGCCTCTGCTCCCTCAATACCATTGTCTAAAGGGGCGGCGAGCCAATAGCCTGCCGGTCAGAAATCATCGGAGCAACTGTTTGCACACAACTGGACGAAGAATCACGGCTCTAGGCGCTGAGCTCTGCCCACTCTCTTCCAGGCTGGCATCGTCCCCCATTATGCCGGGCTTGGCTTTGCCCTCACTGTGCATTCACCACCGGGTTTATTGTGTAAATAGGGATGGGGGCTGTGTGAGAGGAAGGCCAGAGGGTCCTCATCAGGGGATGAAGAGAGGACAGAAAGTCGGGCAGCTTTGGTCCCTGCTCTTGGGTTTGGCTCATCTTCTTCGGTTATGGAGGAGGGACAGGGTGACGGGCTCTCGGTGGTAACGAGCTGGCTGAGGCTGGGGGCTGAAAGGGGCGGGGTCTGCCTGCATCGCTAGCTCCCATGTAGCGCTTGGAAGTGTCCACAGTTCAGCCACAGGTAGGGCTGGCTGGGGTGTAGTGATGCTCACATGTGAGCTTAGGACCGGGAAGGCCCTGGTGGTGAGGGTGTTAGTTGCCAGGTCTCTGTCTCCATCTTGAAATGGCAGGAGTGGAAGAAGGGGATCTGCAGAGGGTTTGCCTTTAGAGGCCTTGGATGCAGGCCGTAAGTGCGGGGAGTGCTTAGAGATCTTCTGCCAGGCTTCTAGGCTGGTGAGAGCGGGCACGCTGGGATGTCGATGCTTTGGCTTCCTCAGGCTGCTGTCCAGCATCCCCGAGGTGGGCTGAGCAAGTGGGGCAGAGGAGAGTGCGGCTCTGCTGGCCAGGGACCTCAGTGCAGAGTGAGGAGGGGCCGGCCCGGCCTGGTAGCTGCATTCAGACCTGCTTGGGTGTGAGATCAGAAGAAAGGAAATGGCCCATTGGGAGTTGGCCTGGTGATAGAACTGCTTCTCAGACTGTGAACTGGCCTACCGACTTTGGCAGGTGGGCGGGCGGCCTTGCTGTGGGAGGGTCCACAGTGTGAATCCAGGCTGATCTGTGCAGAACCTCCATGCGTGACGTCATGCCTCTGTGGGGCTCCCCCAGCCTCGGCCGCCATCTCTGGAAACTGAGGTCCATCCTCCCACACTCAGCCCTCTCTGCCCTTGAGCCCCTGAGGACCCTGCTTGGGGGAGTTGCTGCCCTTTCTGATGCCTCTGGAAGAAGAGGCCTTGGAGGCAGCGGGCAGCAGAGAAGGGGAGGACAGGATCTTTCTTGGAAATGGCTGGAGTTGCCCCGAGGGGGGATTTTCGGGGGATTTTCAGGGGATGGGAGAGCAGCTGAGAAGATGCTTGATTTCTGCTGGTGTAGGCTTCAGTCCACTGGGGAGCTTGGGAGACTCGGTGGGGGGGGGGGCTCCCCCTCCATTCTCCACTTAAAACTAAGAGCATCATGGGGATGAGCCCCAGGGGTATTTCTAGGGCCCAGACCTCTCAGCCTTAGCTGTGTGATCGCTGGTGTCTGTCCCCACCTGCCTCTCCCTCCCCCTTCAGTTCGGTCAGTGGTTTACCTCATTAGGAACTCTGGGGGGGATTTGTGGGCAGCTGCTCCCGTCAGGGCAGGGCTGATGCCTCCCCGGGAGGGGGGTGGGAAGGTTACCCAGGGCTGCGCACGTCAGCAGCTTGTCTTGTGGTTATTCAGTGTGGGCAAGACACGAGGCCTTCTGTCTCCCAGCGCCCCCGTCCCCACCAGGCCCACTTTGGGAGCCTTGCCCTGCTGAAGGGTTGTTCCTGCTTCCTCAGCCACCACATGCACGGTGTGGTGTTGGTCGTGAGCAGCTGGTGAATGGAGCGGGGTTTCTTTGCCCGGTGTGTTGTCGCTCGGCCAGAGACAGACGCAGCCTATGGACAGCAAACGTTGCCCAAGTAGGAATAATAAAGCGGGTGTTGTGCACTTTTGAGCACATCTATACATTTTCTATACATTGTATGTACTGACCGTGTTTCCTTTAGTTTTATATGGGTGGTCGAATGTGTGTGTGGGTGTAGGTGTGTGTGTCTGTGTGTGTGGGTGGGCATGATCATGGTATGGTTGGGTGCCCACCTGAGGAAGAAAGGCCTGGGATGGCTCAGGTAGGAGCCTTCTGAGGAGGCTCGGAGAACGTGTTGCTGGGTAAAACCGCACCGGGCATTCCTTCCTTCATTTATTCATTCAGCCACATTTCCTTGGGCCAGAACCGGCCGCCTTGTGGGGGCATTGTTCCATCTCAGCTCAGTGATTCATTTCCTGGCCTGTCACCTCTCAGAAGAGTTAGGGACAGTCCCTGCAGCCCTTCCTTCCTCTTGGGTTCCTCGTCACCTGTGGCTGTTTGTTCTCCTGTTCTGTGGAGGGGGCCCAGTTGCTTTTCTCTTGCGGGCATGTGCGGACATGTTTTTAATTTCTTTTTCTCTGTCTGTGCAAGGAGGGATGGGTGCCACCTGGGGGCTCCTGCCCTAAGCAGAGCTTGTTAACAGCTGCCCCGGCCCCGTGGCATGGGGGACCTAAGCAGGGAGAGCAGTGGCAGCTGCTTCTGGGGACTCTTGCTCTTAGAATCCTTCTTCCCTCCTCTTGCCAAACGGTTGCTGGGGGAAGTGTTAGGTTTTTTTTTTTTTTTTTTAAGAGAATGATGGCATCATCTATTTGCACATTGAATCCCTCATTCTGGTTGTTAATTAAAGACAAAAAAAGCTTTTGGTTGGTGTTTCCGGAATATTATTTGAGGTCTGCTGGGAAAGAGAGAAAGGCCGTGTTTCAGAATAGGGGAGTGCTCAGCATCTGCTTACGTGCCTCTCTCATGTGTTTGTCCTGCGTCACGCGGCCCTCAGACAGATGGATTCTTTCTCATTTTTAAACCTGGAAGACGCTAGGCTCACACTGCGCTAACTGATCTCCAAGGCCCCTTCCAGAAATCAGCCCAGACCAAAGCGGAAGGAAAGTCACTAGTTAGCTTGTTTGCTTTCAACTCCAGACCGCTGGGGAACCCTGAGCAGGGAAGCCACGGTGGTCTGTCCGAGTTAGCCTGAGGCTGCGCCTCCCCTGAGAGAGGCCTGCCCCTGGCTGGCTCCAGAGCCATCCCCCATGTAACTGAGGGCCTGCAGTTAGAGCCTAGGCCAGCGCAGTGCCTGAGAGCCAGGCACACGGAGCTGCTGTGCACCAGGGCTGGAGCTGAGACGCATTTCTACACATTGGAGTATTGTAGGTAGTAAATCTCCCCGTATGTAGCTCCCCCAACCCCAGCCCAGCCCTGCCTGGGTCATTTGTAGTTAGAGACTTATTCCTCACTTCTCTGAACACGAAGCAGTGCCATTTGAAAACATTAGGATCTACACTTTCAGAAATACTCAGTCATGGGTGTCCTTATGTTTTCACTTGATGAAATGACTTCTTGTCAGTCACTACCTTGTATTCTGGTGGCTTCTGCCCCTGGGCAGGCAGTGAGGTCTGGGATAGTAGAGGTGGCATTAGAGGACCCCCATACCCCCAAACACAAATGCTGTAGCCACAGCCTGAGCCCCGAGGCCTCCTGAGGCCATGCAAATGAGTACCTTTCATTCCAAGCTGAGGCCTGAGGGTCTGGGCACCCAGCCCAACCCTGCCCTGCCCCATTGTCGTGTTCCTGTCTGCTACCCTGAGCCATCCAGGGTGTGAAGGCAGGAGAGTGTATAGGTGAGTGTATCTCCACAGGACTGCCTGTAGTGGCGCGGCTCTGCCGGGGGAACCCCAAACCCGTCACCTCAGAACTGATTGGGGGTCCATGTGGCTTCTGTCTGTGAACATGTGACCCCACCCCCTTGGAGAGAGCCCCTGGGGTGTTGTTCCCCATCCTGCCTCCCTTCTCGGAGCGAGGACTAGATTCTGCTCAGAGAAGTCTGTACAACAGCTTCCACATGGGTCAAGCCTGGGAGTGTGTGCTTTCTGTTCACAGAAAAAGATGCTTCCACATTATGCACTAGGTTAGCATCCCTCGGGGTCACCAAGAAGCTTGGGCAGGATGCCCATTGGCCCTTTTCTCACCCCCCTGAAAATTGCCACCTTCTCCAAGGATTTGGGCTCCAGACTTGACTGAGTACCTCACCAGGGGAGGGGAAGTTTGTGTGGTCCAATAAGGGGTGAGGCTCTTTCTCTCTTCCCCACATGCCCTGCCTCCAGAGCTCCTACACAAGATGGATTCAGTTGTTTGAAGTAGGACCCCCCTCCACTCTCCACCTGCCCTCACGTCAAGCCTCACTTGCTCCCAGGCCCAGACTTTGCCCTTGGGGGGGTGGAGAGTGAGGGGGCCATGCTGCTCCGCCCTCCCCTCATGCCCTGACCCCATGGAGCTGGTGAACTCCGCAGCCCTGGAGGAGGGTTTCTAGTCTTCTCTGAAAGGCCCTGTAATAGTGGCACTGGGCCGTGTGGACATCCTGAAGACTTTCTCTCTTGCTTTCACGGAGGTGGGGAGGTTAATTGTTTGGATTGTTTTTTGTTGTCCAGTTGGCACTAATCTTTTTGTCCTCCTCAAGATGCTGTGAGAACTGTGTCATCTAAATGCCAAATAAATTTGTGTTCTGGCCACAGCTCCTTGGTCGTCATTTTGGACAGGGTAGCCCCCTTGGAAAGCTGGGCTTGTGGGCGGGAGGGGTTGTGGGTACCATCTTTGGCACAGTTTGTAGAGGCTCTGCCTGAGAGGCCCTCGGGCTGCTGGCCCACAAACTGGACCAGGCAGGCCCGGAGGACCAGAATGAGCAAACTAGCTCACAGACTCACTCACACACTCAGAGGCTTGTGAATCACCTGGTTAACCACAACCCACAGAGTAGTGTATAAACATTAGTCTTCTTATTTTACGGTTGAGGAAACTGAGGCTCAAACAGTACCTGGTAGAACCAACTAGGTGAGACTTGCAGCCAGTCTCCTGACGCCCAAGGGCAGCACTCTCTGTTTAGAAGTGAGTGTCAAGGCTTTGGGGCTCTGTGGGCCGTCTGTGTATTGTTCCTTCATCCCTGGGGATAGGGAGAGGAGTATAAGTAAACAGGATCACAGGATTTTAGAAGGAAGGAACCTGTATAATCCAACCCGTCCCTGAAAAGTAGTCCCCATTAGAGCGAGTGAATGAATGGGAAATCATTTTTTAAGCATGTGACTGGTGCGTAGCACTGTGCCCAGTACTGAAGACACAGATCTAAAACAAAGACAGTCCCTTGCATAGAGGACCTTACATCTAAAAGGGGGGAGTTTGGGCTTGTCAGGTCACTGGCCTGGAGTAGCTGTGGGGAGAAAATGAACAATGACTGAGTTCAAGAACGAATTGTTGGTGACACCAGGGAAGCAGGTCCTATTAAAGTTGTGGGGAGGAGAGTAGAAGGATTGGGGGCAGGGAAAGAGTGCCTTCCCTCTGGTAATTATTTCCCAGTTACCCTGTGTGTAGCTTGCCTCTTTTTGTATCCCCAGTGCTTAGCCCAGTGCCTGACACTTAGTAGGAGCTTAATAAATGTTGATTGATTGGAGAGGAGGCTCCCTGCCACCTGGGACCATCCAATAGGCTACATGGAAGTGGGAGCAGCTAGGCCTTAAAATTTAGGTAAACTTTTAACAGAGATGAGCAGGAAGGTGAAACTCTAGCCATGAGAAACAGCACACACCAAGGCAAGGCAGAATGTTAGCTGCTTGAGGGCAGGGTCCGTCTCACTTTTATGTCAATATCCCTGGCTTCTAGCACCTAATGGACGATTAAGACATGTCTGTTGGTTGGTTGATTAAAGAGAGCATATATTGGAAATGTTGAGGAGTCAGTCCAGTTTGGCTGGAAGGTGGAACCTAGGAAGGAGGCACCATGTAAGGCTAGGAGCTCCCTGAGGGCAGGGACTGTTTATCGCCTTTCTTTGTACCCTCAGCACTTGGCAGGATACCTGGCTCAGCAGGTGCTTAATCAGTGCTGGTTGACTTCATTACTTGTTGACTTGCGAAATCTGGTTAAGGCCATATTGTTAAGAACCTAGAATGCCAGGCAAGAGAGTTTGGACTTTTATATTCAATAGACTCTTGGAGGGACGTGACAGATCTAAAACAAAGATCTAAAACATAAGTGTGGCAGCCGAAGGAAGGATGGATTGCAGAGGAAAAAGTGGAGGCGGGAGGACGTATTAGGGGGAGATAATAGTAGTCCAGGTGGGTGGTAATGAGGGCCTAAGCTGGGCCAATGACCATGGGATTAAAGAGGAAGGGAATGGGCTGGAGAGGCATTGATTGCGGAGGTGAATGACTGATGGTGCTGCGTACAGCCAAGCTGCACTGATATTAACTCGAGGGGATGCTCAGAAGGAGGAGCTGTCAGCCCAGATTGCCCTGGGTCGCAGAAGCTGCGGAGGGGGGCAGCAGAACGCTCGCTTGATCCAGGGAGTCATTGGAGACTTACGGAGAAGCAAAGGCTTGGAGCAGTCGAGACCAGATAGACAAGATGATTTCAGTGGTTCTCCAGACCTGGGAGTCTGCACTCCCTAGTGTTCCACCATCACGGTCCTCCTCAATCAGCCCTCGTGCCCAAACCTTCTGGCAGGTGATGTAAGCCCAAGTCTTAGAGGGATGGAGCTGAGCAAGGAACACGAGAAAGAGGATCCCTCTTCCTTCCCTTCAGGAGTGTGTGTGTGTGTGTGTATTTTCTTGGGAGTATCATTATAGTATCTGAGTTTTTAACCTGGTGAGTAACCAGTTTCCTTTGTATTTTATTTGATGCATTCAAAAATGTGGTTCTGAGAAGAGGTCCGTGTGCCAGAGGCATCCGTGACACAAAGTAGGTGCAGATCCCTTGTTAAAATGAAAAAATCCCAGACCTCAGAGTTAGAAGTCCTTTCCTGCTCCAAGCCTCCTCTTTTTTTTTCCTTTTTTGACGAGGCAGTCGGCAGTTAAGTGACTTGCCCAGGGTCACACAGCTAGTAGGTGTCAAGTATAAAGCCTTCTCTTCTTCATCAGACAAGCATCAATTAAGTTCTCACTGTGTGCTGCGAAGTATGATAACATTAGCTGCTGTATAGCTTTGTTAAGAAGAAAAGAGATTTGTAAGCCATAAAGTTCTGTTCAAACGGGAACCATTGGCCTCTTGGGAATGCTGGTTGGTTTGGGGGAGAAGCCCTTTGCCTTAAATTCTGGGCTGGGTCATCAAGGAAACCTCAACGGCAGCTTTCCTCCACTGGTTTAAAACTATTCTTCTGAGAAGGAGGGCTAAAGGCTTCTCCAGAATGCCAGAGGAGTCCAGGATGCAAAGATGACGAAGGCCTGGCCTGGGCTTGGCTTTGGTGCCTCTGGTGACAAGGAGCCAGTCCATTCCACGGAGGACAGTTCTGATGGTTCTGAACTTGTTCCTTAAGTTAAGGTGATGTCTGCCTCCTCATAACTCCTAATTATGTCCTCTATGGCTAAGCTACAGAAGTCTAAGCTTTCATTTACATGATGACACTAGATAAAATTGAAAGTCGGGGTAACGTCATGCCTCTCCCAGGCATCTTTCAGGCTAAACTCTCCAATTCCTTCAATAAATTCTCCATTGGCAAGGGTGCAAGCCCCTTCACCAATCCTGGTTGCCCTCAACAGAACCCTCTCCAGTGTGATGTCTATCCCAAAGTGTGGGATCCAGGCCTGCACCCAGTACTCCAGGTGTGGTGTGACCAGTACAGAGGCCTGGGAGGATTAAGAGCCCGGGGACCCCACAAGGCTGACTTGGCTTTTTTTATCACTTGTCGGTCCCTGAGTGAGTTGGAATAGTTCTGGGAAAAGCCATGGCCGGTGACCCCCATCTCCCCCTATCGTAACAATCAACTCCAGGGTCCAGTAGGACCCATGGGAAGTGTTTCAGGAGAGGTGACCTGGGGTGAAGGCGCATAGGAGATGGAGTCTGAGATGTGACTCAGTCACCAACTGGCCTTGGGACATTGGCCAAGTTATTTCAGTTAAACACTTACTATATGCCCAACTATCAGCTAGCATTTCTGTAATAATGTCAGTTAGCATTTCTATAATAATATCAGCCAACATTCCATTTTAAGGTCTGAAAAATGTCTTGCAAACATCTCATTTTATCTTTATAGCAACTATAGCAGGTGCTATTATTATCCCCATTTTACACATGAGAAAACTAAGGTGAATAGAGGCTAATTGACTTGCCCAGGGTCACAAATTCTGCCTAAGGCAGAATTTGAACTCAGATTTTCTTGACTCCCAAGTCTACCAAGCCACCTAGATTCATCCTCTCTGTGTGAGGCTCTGGGAATGCAAAAAGAAGAATGAAACGTTCCATCCCAACACTTACAAAGAAGGTAGAAAGCTTCACGGAGGAGGTGGCGCCCCAGCTGAGCCTTGAAGAAAAATAATCCAAGAGCATTTCTTAAGCACCAATTGTGTGCCAACCCCAGTGCTAGGTTGCTGGGAGTGTAAAGACAAAAGAAAGAAACAAGAAGGGTGTAACAGCCCAAGCATGGGCGGTGGGGTGGAATGTGGACTCTGGGTAGTATTTCTTCGGCTTCCTCGTCTGTAAAACGGAGGTAAAAATGCTTTTCCACTCAGAGGGTGATGGTGACGAGTTTGCTTTGGTAAACCTTAGAAGAGTTTATTTGCGTGAGCTCTTATTGATGGTTGAGGGAGGATTGCCCCATTGTGGGGACTGAGAGAGGAGGCTGGGGGACCTGCTGTGGAGCAATCATTTTAAAAAATGAGTGAGGGGCAGCTAGGTGGCGCAATGGATAGAGCACCGGCCCTAAAGTCAGGACGACCTGAGTTCAGATCCGGCCTCAGACCAAACACTTGACGCTTACTAGCTGTGTGACCCTGGGCAAGTCACTTAACCCCTATTGCCTCACCAAAAAGCAAAAAAAAAAAAAAAAAAAAAGTGAAAAAATTTAAAAAGGAAGAAGGAGGAGAAAATTCACTCTTTGGAAGGTTGATTTGGGAATTTTCTCTTTGATTGGAGCTCCCTAAATTCAAAGTCCATGAGCCGTATCATTCCCCAATTCAGCTCTACTTATTCTGAAGCAGCTTAGAATAGGGGAAAGACCCCTGAATTGGGAGGCAGGATCCCTAGTGTCTAGTCTAGACTTGAGCAAATTGCCTTCCCATCTCTAGGCCTCAATTTTCCCTCATCTGTAAGATGCTATAGTTGGACTTTATTTCTAAGGCCCCCATCAGCTCTGGCACAGCTTTCAGGTTCTAGCCCTGGACTTGTAGTAACCACACATTTTTAGTTGTTTTAGGATTGACATTTTTATCCCAGCAGCAGTCTCTGGGTATGGATCAGGGCTTTGGAATCAAATTGGGTCAAATTGGGTCTAAGCCATCCCCTTGTACTGTGTGATGGTCAGTGTAGAAACCCAGCCCCTAGGATCTGCTGATGGGCTGGAGAAGGAGGGGACTCCCGGCTCCCTGTTCAAAATGGGACCAGGCTGGAGAGAGAGATCTCAACATATCCCCTGCCCCCCACCTCACTTTCACAGTTTGGGTGGCTCTAGGAGGGGGAGGATAAAGCACATAGAATGGTGAACTGTAAGAGATCATCTAGTGCAACCCCCCCCCATTTTACAGAGAAGGAAGC